ATTATTGTTTAATGATGGAGGAAGGAATATAAAGTCAAAAAATTTTTATCTAGACATATATTGAAAAATCATTCTTTGGATCTGCTTTGTGATTTGAACCTTATACACTTTGATAATTCTTTAATAAAATGATTTCAAATTCTTCTTTTTCAGTTAATTATTTATTGTACATCACTAATATAGGTTAACATTGATGACTGTGACGTTTTTCATTTATTTTTTTGTATTATATTTTTTGACGTCAGCTTTGTATCTGTGTAAATTGTGAGTTCTAATGAAGTCTATTTCTATTCTTTCTACTTATGAAAAAAATTACTCTAATGGGAAATGAAATGCAGGAAAATGCTTCAAATGCTCAGAATCTTCATCAACCCTTCATATTCTCTTTGGTTGTTTGTTAATGATCTCTGTTGAAAACAAAACATACATTTGTTTTTTCGGGAATAAACGTGTATTATTGTAGAGAAAACCTCGAAAACCTAATTTCGATCAACTTTTATTTGAGTTAGATATCCTAAAAAGAAAAACTCATTTTCTGGTAAGTTATCCTTGCCGATATTGTGACCTTTCCATTCTCTAGTTGAAAAATTTGTAAACAGTTGAAAGTCACGTAAGTAGATACCTTATTTTTAACTAGTTTGTCTTTGGATGATACTGATTACAGAGATACTTGTTCGAATTTATTTGTCAATATTTGTTAGTGAATATTAGGGGTTCGCACACCATAGCCTGTTTTTCTGCTTCATTAGATCCCATACATTTCGGATCTATAGACTACTCTGATTGAATACGTCGTTGATCATTATGTATTCAGCTTCTTTATATTTCCTTTTGAAAAAGCGTTCTTCCTTGTGAATAACTTTGACTTTGGCCACTTGATTGTTTTGTTGATGGGCCAGTCATGCGTGGCATTATCCGACTCGCAGGTTTCTCTGCGCTGGGTTTTTTCTCATGCTCGTCAATATGCTTCCAATGACTCGGATTTCCCCGATAAAGGGCTTGCCGCATTCACAAGGTATTTAGTAAATGCAGTACTTGAGTCATTGATCGCGTTTGGTGGATCGGTTTTCGTTAGTCTGCTACTGATGGTGTGCCTGGATCTGAAGTGGATTCTGATGTTGTTCTTGGATCTAATTTCGTTAGCTCCGCCGACACTTCTCTGACAAAAGAAAAGAAAGTACTGGTTGAGACGGGTTCTTTTCCTCGCGAGCTTTTGTTGTCTTCTCGCCTTCTCGTCTCAGGACGAACATCTTGTTGAAGTTCGTTCTGATGTGACCCAATTCTTTGCCGAGATTTTCCTTTGTGTTACAGATACTGACTGCATGATCAACTGTACAGATGTTTCCCCTTGCTGTTAGTATTCTACACCAACAAGTTCAGAAACGGAAATTCATTTTGAGATTTTTTCCATAAATAGCTAAGTTTCAGCCATGACTGTTACCGGTGAAAGTTGTGATCCCATTGGTAGTCCATCATCTTGTGTGAAGTAAGTATTCGTCTCTCAGATGGAAATAGCAGTTTGTAGTAATTCTTCGATAACTCTAATTGAAAACTTTTTTCTGGCTTGTAGATTATCGTCTTCCTAGCTTCCTGTGAACCATCTGATATGGTTCCTCTTCAGGAACGTTGGTGTGAAAGTTTCTATAGCAACTGAATAGTTCTTGAATAGTGCCTTGAAATTTTCACTAGAGATTGGAGTTTTTCTCGTAAAGGTTAATTGTTAAAAGTAAAAATATCAGAAAGTCCTATATTAGTGAAATCGGAAACGTGCTGGAACTTCGAATTGGCGAATATAAAACAACATCTAATGAGGAGAAATTAGAAAATCGTGAATAGTGGAGCATGTTTGGACCCATCAACATGATCATCCACAGGGTTTTGTTGTTTCGAAAACAAACCTGAAAAAGCTGAGTACCTATATATTGAACAATGAAGCATTGGTAATATGGAGATCCAGAACGTTTAGAAACATTTAATCATGTGAAAAACGGGTTGCGGTGTACTGAGCCAGAAAACCAAAAAAAGAGGAAAGAGTCAAAAGCGCAGTCAAGCCAATTATAAATAATATTGCGGTATCAGAAATAAACCAGTTATCACCCAAATTAGACTGTGAATACAAACAATCAAAACGTCGTGGAATTGCTTGGTTTGAAACCTTTTTCTTATATCTTTTTTTACTACCATTGATTGGTTTGTATATTATTGCCTTTGTTTTCTTCAAGAATTGTAATTCTTAGACTTTCACATTTTCTTTCACATCTTTATATTTATTTATTTTTCAATTAATCTCATTCGAATATTTATGCCTGTATATTTTTCTTACGGGCAGAAATAGTCCATAATCTTCGTTTAGTAAGATTCAGTAAGGTTTTTCTAATGAAATACTAAAAACGTTGTTTTTTCAAATTGTTTCATCTTTAATTATTATTTCATAAAAACACTAACCTGGTACCTACTAATAGTCTACTAACTTCATCTTTGAAGGTGAAGTCACGATCTTTTTCACAGTATTGATTTGTATTTTCAATATTTTCTGTAGCAAAATTTGTATTTTCAGTAATGAAAACTACTGCAGTCTCTTTCAAACACATTCCGAAATTTCTTCGATTTCTTTGGTTCCAAATGTAACATAACCTAAAAAAAAACTTTATGCATTTCATTCGCGTGATTAACCTACTGAGCTAAAGTTGAAGGTTGTACAGTTTTATCACTCATTTGACTCAACTTGAG